TAAAATGTCGTTATACTATTTTTAAGTAATGCCCCGAGTAAGAACTAGGGAAGCAAACGGCACAGGAATGCAAGAAGGTGCTAATTGYGCATTGTATAATCCATCCATCCCATTGGTTAAAACATGAAAATCTGCTATAATTTCCCAAGKTAGMGAATTTTCTAATATTATATTTAATGTCGTTTTTCGTTTTCGTGAAAGCTTTCTTTAGCTTCAATATTAAGGCAATAGTTCTATGTGGGGAACATTGCAAATTAGAAGCATATTTTAGCTATTGTTTTGAGTGCTTATGATTGGATAAGAGCTTTTAATACAAAAGAAACTTTGTTTCAAAAWAGARTTTATCSAMATTTYATWTCAAAAATGTGTTACCCACAAATGGATACATAATCAGTGTGAAAACCAAGACATTCGTACATGGGGAACTTGCTATGCCGCACAACAATAGAGAGCTCCCTAGTTCTTACGCGCATTGTTACTTAAACAGTTTTATATTAATTCTTTTGTTTTCTCTTGCTCAACTAGAGCTCCATTCAATTTTACATAATGCAGCAATCGATCAGTGCTTCACAGTGTTATTGTTGAAAATACCAGTTTAATTCCAGTCGAAGCAGTTTGCATTTATTTCGAACACGTCAACTCAATTATACAGAATTACTTGATTGTTGTTTTTTTATATCTCGCTTACTTTTGCATTGTACTCTTTGCTGGCTTAACACAAGCATGCTGAAAAGAAATCGTGCAAGTTTATTAAAACATTTACTTACAAAATCCTTGTAAAACCCTGGCAAAATTTATTATCTATTTGTTTTATATGAAAATAATGTTTTATTACAGAAGCTACATTAAGAATATTTTGTACAAATTTCGACAAAATGCAATTTTCGTTGCCTAGGTAACGTTGATGAGCCCTGAAATATTATCCGAAACAAAACTTTGATCAATGCTTTATTACTCGTCGAAACACCAAATAAATCGGTGGATGGCAAGATTTTCAAAACCGAATTTAAAAGAAGAGGTGTGGTCGAAAAAAAACTATAGGAAGCCACCTTAAAGTACTAAAATAGATCTAAGCTACAAAAATTGCAAACAAACACTTTGTTTTGAACTAATTTCGCGCCCTTTGCAGCACAACTACTTCACCATGGTAGTCGCTGCTAATATATGAGCCTGACAAGATGGCGCCATTCATGCTGGTTTCAAGGCATATATTTGTCTCTTGTCGTTGAAGATGCGACAAAATCCATTGGTAATCTTTGAGAAGGAAATTCGGTTAATCAAATAACTATAGAGTTAAGGTGGAGTTCTCCTTTATCAAAGAAAATCACATTCCACTGGCAAATAATTATCACCCTTTTGTTTTAGGATGCACGGATTTTGAAAATACCGATAAAATAACTCCGCAATAACTTATAATGATTCTTAATTGTAACTTAATATATATCTTAGGTTTCGAAATACTATTCCTACTAGGATCTGTATTAAGATGCCGTAATGATTAATGCGCTAACGTGTATTAAAGAGTTTGACCCAACGAAAGTGCAGTTCTTTGAATCAATAATTATATCATCATTTTCCATTTTAATATGGTACTTATGCTGTTGATCAGAAAAAAAAGACGAACAATGACGACGAAGAACCAGCAGGACGAAAATCCAGTGGATCAAGTGGCTAAACTTATTAAAAATGGCGAACTCGAAGAGATAAAAAAGATCACCACACCATCAGGTTTAGAAAAATTAGCTGAAAAGCAAGGACAGAATATTTTGGAATTTTCTTTAATGGTATGCATACAATAAGGTTGTTTTGCAATTTTTTACTAGCATGTTCTCAGAAAGTAAGACGAGCAATCCTGAGGAAAGTCACTATGCACATCTGTTGGTGCGAATATTAATTGTTAAGTGTTGTTATCGTTTTATAAGTTTTATATATTCTGGTCTTTTGTTCAAATCGCTTTAAGTATTGTAACACCATGATCACGTCGGATTCCACTGGCTTCCGAGGGGTTTACAAACCCGAATTTCCCTCATGAATAACATGAGGGAAATTTAGAAGACAAAGGATTCCTTTGTCTTTTAATAAAGTTCCCTCTATTTAATTTATGCAAGGGAAATTTAGTAAAGAGATTTTACTGAAAACAAGTCACCTACACCATCTGGCACTACCATGTCTTGCATGTGGGACATTGTTTACCTAACTGCGCATGCCTCTGCACTTATTTAAAAAAACGAGTATGCCTATGACAGATTTATGCGCAGTCACATAAAAATTATTGTAAAAAATCAGTTGTTTAAAATCATTTGTTCTAGCACCACATTGCACTTTAACACTTTTGCTAACTCGAAATGAAGCATTGAAAGAAATAGCGTTTAATACCGGCAAAACTGATATAGTCAATCTTAATTTATTGAACTTCGTTGTCTGTTCTAAACGAAAATCTCTCAGCAATGTTGTTTGATCATTGCGTACGAATTTTAATTCTGCGATATAAATATTACCTTTGGTACCCGGCCTAAGGGACTACAAAACAAGTGTATGAAATAGTACTAACGAACGAATGTTGAATTAATTACAAAATAGAAGACAAAGTAACGTATTTGAAAACTATTGCTTGATTACATCATTATCAAGCCTAGAAATACAACACGTCAATGAGCTAGTTATGCATTTTGGCGTTGTTTAGGACGCTTCCTTGACTAAAAAACTGGACATCAAAGATGTTTCTTTACTTCCTCGCCGATCATAATATTAAAAGTAATACCATGTTTGTAAAAGTCCCTCGGTCTGCACCTTCGGGACTTCCACAAATTTTCGCTCGGTTTCGGGGAAATTTTATCACTAATTTCCCTGGTTACATGGTATTACTTAGGGAGCATTCATTTTTTAAGTGGGGAGGGGGCTGGAGGAATCCCTGAGGGGCCATGTCAAATTTACATTGTTAAAATGAGGGGTCACTGAGTTTTTTGGCTATGTTGAGAAGGGGGTCATGCAAAAAAAAACATTGACAGTGAGCCAGCACCAAAGGGTTTTCTTACTGCTATTGTGTCAGAAAAGCGTGGCAAAGAGTTCTTCTACAACAAGGAATATCTGGCAAAGTTCAACATCACAGCCAACTCAAAACGAGATAAAGTACCTGGACATGCCTATTTTGAAAAAGTTGAGAGTTTTTTTGAGTCGCACTACGAGAAGGGAGAATTGTACATGGAATTCCTGAAAGGTGATTGCTCTAGAATAATAGCAACAAAGGTGTGATTGGAGTGTAAAGAGCATGAGTGGATTGAGATTAAACCAAGCAAGAGAACACCTCGTCCCTATCCAGATGCCTCTCAGCTACCAAATCATCATTATCTTCCTACTGAAAAGACACCAATGCACATTGATGATGGCAACTTAAGAGAACCTGATGACTACCAGCCTAGAGCCCAGTTAAGGAAGCTATATGCAGAAGGTGAAATAGGCAGAAATAATTAGTAAAACCAAGATTGCGGAGTTCTCAAAAAAGTACATAGTAAGTGAAAAATTGATCAACAAATATATACATAGAACATTTAAAAAACATTGAATTAAGAAAAGAAGTACGCTCTGAAGACAAACGCAAAGCAAAGATGGTTCAAATGGCTAAACGTTATTAAGACTATGATTGGGAATGCCTGTACCAAACCGGACAGCTGAAATCGCTAAAAGTAGCTGAGCTTGATAAATACATTAAACACCATGTCCTTGTGGAGACAAAGATGTATAAAGCTGAGAAATGCCATTTTATTGAGGCCCATAAATGTTTGAGTTTTGAAATTTGCCCTCCATATTCTGAAAGTGCATCATATCTTAATGCATCCTTGCTAAATAACGAAAGGAACAAGACCAAATTTACGCGTTTGTATGTGGTCATCCGACCATAAAATCGCTTGTATCTCCTCTATAAATGGCACTAGGACACTGAAATTTGGTAGATAGCTTCTTTCTTCCATGCGCTTTAAGGATATGTCAACGAATCCGACAAATTCGAAAAAAACTATTTCCGTGACGTCACACTTTAGTACTCTATTGAAAAGCACAAAGAAATAAGGTATATACACAAAATAAATTCATTCATTTCAGTGATGCATAATTAACATACTCCTAATTTTTCATGTATTTTTTAATGTATATGTAGGCTGGGTGATTTGAGAAAATGCGACTAGCCAATCAGCGCAAAGCTGACAAGCTTATGTTGTAAACATAACCCTCCGACGGGAGGAATTTGCACAGCAAAACTCGACCCAGTGGAGTAGGCTGTCTGTCCTTTTATTCTATCCGAAAAATCGAAGCTAAAACGCAAAGAGAAATTGAAAATCTTTATAAAATAGCTTTTAAATGCCAATCAAATATTTATCGTTATAGAAAGAGAATTTTATCTTAAAAATGAAAAATACAAATAACTTTTTCTTTAATACCACGAGACTCCCCTCCCTGATAGAAATAATTGTTCTGTGTTCTACGCGGGTTCTCCATTGAATGCGAAGCAATGACCGACTTCACGAAGAYCTCAGAAGGTCGTTGAAGCGACGTTCAACTCCAATGTATCTTAGGAGGAACCATTGCAAATCATTTTTCTTAGCTCTTGTTTCCTCTAAKCTTTGAGCAGTTTGAGGTATCTACAACATCACTGGAAGAGCTAGAGCAGCTTAGGTCCACGTATTCCAATAGAGTTAAAGCGTTTGTTATTTTTGGTACAAACAACGGTCGTAGTTCATTCTTTGTCGCATTTTCGGCAATATGCCGCAAGCGTGCTCGACGATTTGACGTTATGTAACAGGCCAGTTACACATTTACTAGCTCTGACCTTACAACTAGAGCTAGAACGGTGACTGGGGTTTTTCGTGTAATGTCTTGATAGCGACTGTTTATGTCGAAACGACTCAAAACAAAATTCCATCGTGAAAACAGTTCGACTAAATTCCCTTCTGAAAAACACGCGTGTATTTAAGGTGGAAAATGTTTCATATGAGCATTCAATTCTTAAAGGTTTAATTCTATAATCATTTTGTTTAGTTATGTAAATAAATTTAACACGACTTGTACTGTTTGTCTGAATTAAAGGCGAGATGCGGGTTTTCCCTTTCTTTATTTACACTTTCAAATATGACCGCTTAACAAAAATGCACGGGCTCACTGGCTTACAACCTTGGCGAATTCATATGCAGGCCTGGTCACAAATCAATCACCCAGCTGGGTAGGGGTCATCATAAATTACACAACCTCAGTCAGGGGGTTGGCCAAAATTTATGCTGAGCTAAAGAGGGGTTGAATTCTTTTTCACACACTTATTCCGTGATTCCTCCGCCCCCCCCTCCCCCTCTTAAAAAATTAATGCTCCCTTATAATAAATAGTATAATTAACGTCAGTTCATCACCTTAACGTTCAACGGAACTCAAATGTCAAACTATCTTGTAAGTATTCGTTCACTTTTTGTATTTTGCCCTTTTTTGTATTATTCGTTTATTGACTTTTGTACTGTACGGCTACTTTTAGGAACCGTTTGTATGTAACGTATCAATGTAATCCGAATAAACGAGATCAAGACGTTTCAGGGCCGTAGCCAGGGTGAATGGACAACCGAGGCAAGCGGCCGCCGATGGCGGGAGAAATTACTAGGGGGGTCTGGGGGCATTCTCCCCCTAGAAAATTTGAAATTCAGTCTCTCGGAAATGCAAGTTGCAGCGTTTTGTGGGCCTTTTGGTAACTCTTTATTGAACGACAGATTTAACCGGAATTCATCATGTAATATTTATGAAACAAAGAAGCTACAAGTACAAAAGTACGTACAAAAATAATATTATTTTTATATTTTTTGCACAAAATCAGTCGTGCGAAATCGGCTCTGAGAGGCTAAGATAATATTAGTGATGAAGAACAAAAAGCATCGGTTGGCCTCTTATACTAGCTACGTCCCTGCGTTTAGGTACTATCAGTGGATTGTATCAATGTTTGATGTGCAGATATTCTTCAGGTGTGCAGGAATTTAGTTTTCCGTTTGCGTGAGTCCATCTTGGGGTATTGTTAATTGATTTTTTGTAATGAGATAAAGTACATAATAATGGCACTAAAATAACTATACCCTGCTAGCAGAGTCTTGGATATTTATCTTATGCACCCCAAGGGTAAAAGAGCCAAAAGAAAAGTCTATATGTCCGTCTGTCTGTCTGATAATGTTAATGTAAATTTGAAATAATTTATATGATTTTTGTGTATTTGCAACTTGCAGGTGAGTGACCAGTTAAAACGTTCACCAGAAGGTTCGCATCACAAAGAACTAGCAGATCTTGGACACAACGTCGAAGAGTACGCTAGAAATCTTCTGCATTGGTTTGAAATGCGGATCACCATAAAAGAAATTCCTTGCATTGATCGCATCACATATGCTGCAATTCATTACAAATGCAAGAAGGTACAACACACATATTGACAAAAAAGGCCGGATCCAGTTCAATTATTGGTGATATCATTTTCTTACATGGCCTGCGTA